GGGATGAGCTTGAAGGGCGGGAAGACCTGGCAAAAAGACAGCAGCAGCAAAGCGAATTGAAAAAAAAACCACACACACACACAACAAGATGCTGGAATCCACTTTAAAAAAAACCCTAAATACATTTGTAAGAATAAAATCCTGTTCTTTCTTGACTCCACCAAGGCTCTGCAGTCAGAGTTTGTACCGTGTGTCTTGCACGCTTGTTTTTAGAACTCTTGGTGCAGCCCCCCACCCTGGGGGGGGGGAAACAATATATGTCGTTTGTCTGGGGTGACAAATATATATATATGCTATTATACAAATATCTCCCCCTGCAAAATGAGATCAAAACACAGCTGGACAGACGTGCCTCTAGAGGTCACTGTTCTCCAAAACAAAACAAGGCGCACGTCATGTCGTGGCAGGAAGTCCCACGAAAACCAACTCACCCACCTAGAACTGTGTCCATTTAGAAAAGTCGCTGCACCACCCTGAAGGGTCTCGGGACCCCCCGGCCCGCCTGTTTCGCTTTACAAGCTTACAAATGTGCGTCTGAGCCGTTTTGGACAAGGTGCGCATAGAGAAAGCCTTCCTGAGCAAGCCACCCGTCCGCGCCCCCCCCCTTGTTTCCTCCACTTTCCGTGGCGGGGAGGAGCGCTGTTCCTGTATACCTTCTGGATCTAGTTACACCAGAAGGCCGCCCCCCCAAAACACGTCTCTGACACTCATTTTCGCATTTCTAAATAGCGGCTGGAGACGTCAAACACAGGAAGGGGTGAGAGAGCTAAGGAAAAGACCAGCTAAGCCAGAAGAGGCCCTTCGTCTGAATTCAACTTTGTGATTTAGCACGTCAGCACCGGAGAAGCACACTGCACAGAAACACCTTCCTCCCGTATGCTGTGCAGGACTCAAAAGATAGTACATTGCTTGTATTTTTGTCTGCGCCCCATGTGGATGGGCTCCCCTCCAACACGCACACACATCTAGTGTGTCCTCACAACACCCTTGCAAAGTACACCGAGGTGAGAAAAGACTTACGTGAGTGTAACAATTGGGGAGGCTGCCTTCAGCTGGAGTCCCATATAAACGAAGTATTTACTCCGGAAAGGGTGCCGGTGAGGTCCCAGGACGCGGACCGAGACTAAGACGGACTTGCCGATTTCGATCTAGGGAAGAGGACGAGGAGGTTTTACTGCCAGCTTCAGAGTCTGGCTGGGACTGAGTGTGATCTCTGGAAGGGGGGTCATTTTTTTGCTTCACGAGGGCTTCCTCGAAGGAGCCCAGCTCCCAGGCCAACGTTAGCCTCTCACCTTATCAACGAGGTCCACTTCCAGTTCATGCATATTCGAGACTTGGAGGTAGGCCGTGGCCGGTCCCAGAAAGGCCAGACAGAGGTCGAAGATCTCCAGGGCCAAACGCCCAGCAAGGATGGGAACCACCTGCCAAGGAAGGCAGCCGCAAGAAGGAGGAAAGGACGGTAAAACAGAATGGGTAGCTGATTTGGGACTCTAGAGATGGAGCCTCTCGTTCGGCTCCTATAGAACGGCCGGCGGGATTCGCAGAGAGAAAACCTCCAGAGATTCAAGGGCGGTGAGATTACCATCCCCACCAGCCCAGGCTTCCCTCATCCCTTCGGCTACCGTTGTCACGAGACACGGGAAAGAAACCAATTTTTTTCTGGGATCAAGAGATGGTTGCCAGCTACCCTCGTCGTGATGCAAAATGTTTGAGGGGGCTTTGCTCCTGAATGAAGAGCCGTTAGCCTTGCCAAAGACCCGCCCCGGGCCAACTCAGCAGCCTGTGTTTTAAGACTCTCCTTGGGAGGCAGGGAGCTTTGCGACAGGTCAGGGCGACACGCTTGTCTGTTTGTCAGAATCGGACCGCCACCAAGGTTAAAATAAAAGCTAAGGGTCTGCAGAAAGCACTGGCGGAACACCAGCCAGGGTAGAGGAAAAAATATATCCTATTTTTTTTCTTTGAGGGAATCCCAACTATGGGGCCCTGAAATGAGATTAGTGCTCTGTTTTAAAACTGTGTCTGGCATGATCTAGGATACGCACAGGTGTCTATTATCAAATGCAAGGAAGGAAGGAAGAATAAAAGGCGCGAGGTCCTCGACTTCGTGGGCTTGAGGGTCCCGAGTGGGGCGCTCTCCTCACACTCACATGGATGGCGCTTTCCGCCTCCAGATAGGTGACGTTCACCAGGCCGTGTATACTGCTGTTGACTAGGAAGTAGCCGGATCCTTCCACCAGTGCAAACGTTTCCTAAGAAGGGCAGAAGGAGTGGGAGAAAAAGAAAACCAAGCATCCAGATCAACCCTTATGCTGCTGTTTTCAGGGGGAAAACAACCACCAGCTGACCTGGAATTACGGGCTTTTCCCTTCAATTGAATCTACTCCAGGTCTGGTTCCATGTTTCAAATGACATGATGCCATTTGCTGTGTTTTTGATGCTGGCTAGGGGGTGGGGGTATACCTTAAAGTTTATTCAGCTGAAAACGCCAGGGCTTAGCCGAGATATCCGAGGGATCAAGGCCATTCCAGGAGACTCACTTTGGGAGCACCCCTGCATTTCTGGGGAGGCTCCTGTTTAGAACCCGACACCCACCCACCATCTCCTTTCTCCGGAAGGTCTGGTTCCATGTTTCAAATGACATGATGCCATTTGCTGTGTTTTTTGACTCTGGCTAGGGGATGGGGGTGTACCTTAAAGCTTCTTCAGGTTGAAAACGCCAGGGCTTAGCCGAGATATCCTCCTCCGGGGGATCAAGGCCATTCCAGGAGGCACACATTGGGAGCACCCCTGCATTTCTGGGGAGGCTCTTGTTTAGAACCCGACACCCACCCACCATTTCCTTTCTCCCGGAGGAGGGGAAAAAAGAAGATGATTCATCTTGCCTGGGACCTCAGGCAGCTAAATGTCTGGTGTCGGGCCCCGCAGCATCCCATCAGGCACGGATCCAGCACCAAACCGGCCTTTTACAGCCAGGAGTGCCAGATGCACTGACTTCGTCTTGGTTTGGAAGGGATATGTTGACCAAGGTTCCCCCCATGTACCTTGACGCTGGGGTGGTTGTACAGGGTGACGTTATCGGGGACCACCGTGACGTCCTCGGCGAGCATCAGTTCCACGGCTGCAGAGACAGGAGCGTTTGAGACCTCCTAAATATGCAAACACACCCACAGAGAAATGCTGCCTTAAGGGTGTCCTCACAACATCCATTTTCAGCTAGGCATTGCTATAAATCGCCAAGTCACGTTCAACTTGACTCCATTCGGAGTGGCTTCCTCCCAGCCCCCCAGCGGCGGATCAGGGACTGGAGTCCTCGGCAATCGCCGCGTCCCTTATATACTCTCGCTTTTCCAGTTACACCTTCTAAAATCTGCACTAGGGAATTCTGGTACAGAAAGTTTGAGAAAGCAACTTTGGCAAGCTCTAGGCAGATCAGCTCCAGAGGAAACCACCACCTCCTCCTCCTCCTAGATAAAATTTCCACACCTCTGGTTCAGATCTACCGTATTTTTCGCTCCATAAGACGCACCTTTCCATAAGACGCACCAATTTTTTAGAAGAAAACATGAAAATATAATCTGTTTTCTTCGCTCCATAAGACGCACAGACATCCCCTATATACCCTCGGTTTTCCAGTTACACCTTCTAAAATCTACAGTATTTTGAGAATGTTTGAGAAAGCAACTTCGGCAAGCTCTAGGCACATCAGCTCCAGAGGAAACCACCACCTCCTCCTCCTCCTCCTATATAAAGTTTCCACACCTCTGGTTCGGATCTGCCTTATTCCTTTGGCGAGTCCTTTCCTCTCTAAAATCGCATCTCAGGCTCTCCCGTTAAAGGATGCTTCCTCTCTGCTCACCCTCGGGCTGCCTCTCTCGGAGTATTTCACAAAGTTGACCCCAATCGTGACCGTTCCTTTGATCTGATGGACCTCAAGCAGCTGATGCCCTAAGGGAGCAAAGCAACACAAGCATGGAGGGCCCGGAAGAGAAGAGTTTGGGAAAAAAAAGGAGGAAGAGGCACAGGATCTGAACCGCCACGGGCCAACGTCCTCCCGAGGCGGCGAAGGAAGAACGCAGGAGATGCAACCCTTGCCCATGAAGTCAACAACAACAATAATATTCTCAGAACTGCACGGCTGGACGGGACACCCTCTGAATCATGGAGTCTGGCTTTTCTCAAGGAGGGACGGTGGTAGGATTCGAACTCCCAGCCGGAAGCCTCGGCCCTGGAGTTCTCCAGCTGTTTCTTTCAGACACAACAGACGTTAAGTACGTTTTACCGTTGAGGGTGCAAAGCCGAGAGCCGTACCGTGAAGCCTGGTCTGTCCGGTGCCGTCGTCGTCTTTAGCCACCATTTGAAGGGCGGTCGGGTGAGTGAAGTGAGCCAGAGTTTCGTTGGCCGAGAACCATTCCAGGACGAGGGAGGAGAAGTTGTCAAACTTCCTCCGGTGCTGGTCGAACAGAGCGAGTTCCAGCACGGTGTTCCTCAGGCTGGAGACAGGGACCTGGGAAACAACAAGACGAGGGTTGGGTGGGGAGTGCTTCTGTATCTCTCTCTCTCTCTCTCTTTTCACACAACATTTGTGGACATGTACAAACTTTCTGTGTCTCATCTGAAGTATTTACATCCATTAAAGCCAATGCAGAGACGTCTTATTTCCCCCCCCCCAACAGCAGGTAAGGTAAAGGCAGAAACAGAAGTTATAAATAATCTGTTGTCGGGAGAGGAAATTCCTTAACAGCTGGAAGTGTCTGAGAATGCAAAAAAACACATCTTTTTAAAAAACCTTGTCGAACTTGCAAAGGCGTTCATCTTCTTCGGTGACAGACCTTCAGAAACCAAGCACGAGGTTCCTTTTTGAGCGGTGACTTCGCCAACCTGAAACCCTGCCCGAATCACGTCTCTCCAACACTTAACACGCCTCCAGTTCTAATCACTGGCCATTTATAACATCTGTTTCTGTCCTTAGAACCGGCATTTTCTGCGAAGCTAAAGATAGCTCAGTCTCCCGTTGATGAGCTCCGGCTTCTCTCCCTGTCATCCTTGACATTTCAAATATCAATTCATGCTCGTCCAAGACAGGCTGTCTGATATCCCCAGACAACTGGGAGCACAGAGAGAGAATCTAGCATCGTTTCTGGAAGTTTTTCGCAGCACGTACCAGCTGCTTATGATGCTGGGGCAAGGGGCAAGGCGGAGTGCCCGCTGCCAGCTCATAGACCGGCATCACCGCCATGCTCGCCGGATGGGCGCAGATGAATCTCACTTGGACCGTCTCCACGGCCGGGCTGGGGTTCAGCACACCTGGGTGGTTGCCCACCTGGAAGGTGAACACCTGTGGGGATAAGAAACGAGAGGCGGTCCTCAACCAACAGGCTCTGGGAATCCACGAGAGTTTACATTTGGGGGGGGGGTCTCTTCTACTGGATGGATTTGATTCTCAGCGCTGGGGGAAGAACACCCCAGCGCTGTAGGACAGATGGAGGTGGCACACGGTTCGAATGGAGGCCAGACTCCATGCACGGCTCTCTAGAACACATCCCAGCACTAGGAAGGCTGTAGGAAAAACACGTTCTTCATCTCCCTCCAGATTTTATCCTTCTCTCAAGCCCTTTGGTTCATACGGGGTGAAATGTCTTGCGGAAGGAGGTTAGGGAAGATGATGGGACCCAACACCTGCCTCCTACCTGTTCCCCCAGTTCCAGGCATGTGACCCGGTATATATACTGGTGTGACTTCCTCTTGTTTGGCGGCCGGATCTCTCTCACGTGGACCTTCTCCTTGTGTTCCACGCTGAGCTCCAGGAAGAAGCGGGAGGGCTCCAGAATCCACGGGCCCGGCCCTCCTTCGAACCACATTTCCTTCGCGGAGTGCCAGGTCACCAAAGCCACCTCCACGGGGTCCACTGCCTAGGCCGTCAGAGCAAGGGAGTTAGCGGGGTCTGAGCTGGCAAGGGGCCACAAGCCTTGTCCCCCCCCCCTAAGTCACTGAGAAGGTCGTAAGATAACATGACACAACCTTCAAGGACCTGTAAATAAGTCCAGGAGGATCCCTGTATCTGTGGGATGGCTATCCGCGATGCCACTTGCCCCTGGTCTGAAAGCATTAAAAATATTAAAAGGAAGCAGAAAAAAAATGCACTATAGAAATATATATATTGCCACAATGTATTTATCAGAAATGGTCATTAGATGGAGCCAGAGTTCTTGTTGAAGAATTTGGTCTCTGGCTCCCTCTAGTGGCCGCATCCTAGATGGAGCCAGAGTTCTTGTTGAAGACTATAAAGCATGGTCTCTGGCTCCCTCTAGTGGCCACATCTGATAATACATGATGGAAATATTTTTTTTATGGATTTTAAAAAAAATTACCAAGCTATTGTCCAGTTTTCAGCATCCTTGTGGGATAGGCTTGGAATCAATTGTTCGCTGGGTGCCTTCTCACCTTGAGAGGTTCGTAAGCAGCAAAGGTGGCGCTGGCTTCAAAATACTCCTCAAAGACAGTGGCGCTGGCTGTGACGAGCGTATGGCCCAGGGATCTTGCCACCAGCTGGATGGAGGAACAGAAGGTGGGGCCGGCTTTCTGTTTCCCTAGAAAACAAGGATGCAAGTACAATTTTCTCAAGTGCTAAGCTAACTTCCCCGGAAGTTACCGAGCCATGAACCAGGAGTGAACTGGAAGAGGATTTGTGTGTCGGAGGACTGGGGAACAGGGAAGGAAAGAGACCAGTCCTCTTACCTTCCTCTTCCAAGGCGAACACCCCCTGCTTGTCCATGCTGACATCCAGAGGCAAAAGGGAGCAGTCGGTGAACGCTACGGCCTTCCCAGTCTCTCTCTCCACGTGGTACATCTGGAGGGGGGCCTCCAAGGTCTGCCCAGTCTCAAGGTCTGCGTGGAACGGCAGGAATTCCATCTTTGAGAGCTTCAGCACAGACACCTGAGCCGACAGAGTCACAGGGGTGGGAGGGGGACCTCAGAGGTCACCTAGCCCATCCATGCCCACCCACCCCCTGGAGCCTGCAGGATGGAACTGGGGTCTCAACCTGGCTCGATGGTGCTGGTGGGGGAAGGAGTCCTCTACCCCCCAGAGTAGGCTGCCCCACCACTTAAAAAGCTCCCACCCTTCCGAGGTTTGTCCCAATAGGCAGCCCCAATCTGCTTTCTTGTGGCTGTGATTTCTGCACACAGACACCCCCAAAAAGCATCTCATCGATGCCAACCGGCAGCTTGGGGACTTGCCTGTATTTCTCCAAAGTGGAAGGGGTTCTGGACGTCCCGGGCCTGCACGGCGCTTCGCCCCTCGACCGGCTCCGCCACCACTACCCCTTTCACCGTGACGGTGGCCACCGTCTGGTTCGAAGAGGTCCACGTGAAGTTGCCGCTGCCTCCTTCTACCTGGGGGAAAAGGTGGGCGGCCAGGTGCAAAAGAGAAACCCAAGCAGGAGGAGGATGAACGATGGGGCGGGACAGAGAAGGCAGGCTTGGAAACTATGGCCGATCACACATGGGCCTGAACTGCTAGATAAATTGGGGGGTTCAGTCTCTGAAGCTGGAGGTTGGGAGTTCGAATTCCACACACACACACTGGGCCTCCTTGACAGGGAGGTGATCCCGAGAGTCCCTCTTCCAGCTCCGCCGTTCTCAAACGAGGATGATATGACTAATTAAGCAAAGTTCCAGTAGAGGAAAATGCAATCTCTTTAATTTTACACCGCCTGCTTTATTTGGAACAACCACCTAAGTCCAGTGAAGGACAGCTAAGGATGAGGCAAGATGGGGGTTGTAGTCCGAAACCTCTATAAGGCAACAGGCGGAATACTCCCTTGCCTTGAGGGTTTTGCGGCTAGAAGTGTGGACGACGAAGGTCAAGTTCGAAATACACAGAAAACACAGTATGAAGGGAGGGCATTTCCTGGGTCGAGGGGGGTGTCTCCAGCCCTCGGCCCACCTCACCTGGACCCTGTAGCGATACACGGTCTCCGAAGGATGATGCGGGAAAGCCAAGAAGGGAGGTGTCAGCTTGATGGGGAGGAAGATCCTCACTTCTTGCTCGTGGCTGATGGGGGACGTCAAGACCTCTTCCCAGCCGCTCTGGAAAGGGAAGAAGGGGAGAACCAGAGGCCAAGGGACGGCCCTTCCGTTAGGGGGAAGATGTCTTCGGCAGAATGGCAGAGCCGTTCAATTTCCTAGCTTGCCACAGATTTTAGAATTATATATGGATTTTGTTATTTTGCAAGCTCAGCTCAAGGAAAAGCCAGCTCTGTAACTTTCTGGCCCAGTGTTTTTAATGTTCTTCTCTTCTTAATTACCTGGAGGAGAACAGATACCAGCGCGGCTTTAATGACGGTCACGCCATCTTTCAGAACCCGGACAAGGTGGTAAGAACCGTTCGCCGAGGACGTGTATTCCTCAAAATATTCCTCGGAGAACTGGTGAGTGATTCGGAGGTTCTGGAAATCAAGGGAAGCGGGAGCACGTGGTTAGAAGCCGGGGAAATCCGGGCTGGGAGACATTTTTGGTCCGAGGAACAGCAAAAAAGCCACCGAGGAATAACTAGCTTTGTGTTCCTTGAGCAGCTGGACTTTTCAGATGGAAAAGATGTCCGGAAGACTAAAGGAAAACGTATCCCATTCTGCAAGGGGTTGGATCCACTTTTTTAGGGCTCATTATTTCTGCAAACGCCTGGACAAGGGCGTTCTTTGCTCAGCCCTCCAATTTTGGCTGTGCTGAAGCACAACGCTTGCCCTCCCCAGCCTGAATGAGCTGTATCCCTACACGGGGGAAGGCCCAGGGCTGGGTGACCGGTCCATCTGGTCCTTGCAGCGGGCAGAGGATATGGGGGTTGTAGTCCAAAATGTTTGGCCCATGCTTGGTGGCCCTGGCCCCACTTCTCCACCCATTTCTGCAGGACAGAGGGAGCCTCGCTTCATTCATTGAGTCAAACTTCGGATCAAACACCTATCGGACCACTCGGCAGATTTACGCTGGTGCCCGAGAGCCCCCGCTCTGCGGCTTCCTCCCCATGACTACTCACGTCAGACGGGTAGACTTTCGTGCTCGATTTATCGTATACTTCGACGGTGACGGTGTACATGCGCGCCACTTCCAGGATCCACCTGTTTCCAGGCTGGACGCTGAAACCTGGAGGCATCGGCCCAAAGGAAACGGGGAGGGGGGGAGAAATACAACTGCATTTTCATGAGAGAAGGACCCAAAAAGGAAATTAACCATGGGACGCTGCTGATCGCAGTCAGCCCAGGAGCAAGGGGTGCACAAACTGGACCCAAATTACAACTTCCGTCACCCTCAGACAACGGGGGCGATGGATCAGGGACTGGCCTTTAAATAAAATTTATTAACAAGGGCTCTTGACAGGAAAAAGCTCCCTCTCCCTGCTAAAGAAACAAGGGCAGACAATCAAGCCACGTAAGGAGATGGGGCAAGGGCTGACGGGATAGTCACCTAAAAATCCAGGTTCCACCACGTATATGGTGGAGTTGGGTAGCCTGGAAGAACCTCGCATGTGGATATCTTATTTCTGATGTTAAGGAACGCAGCCTTGTGGAAAAGCGAAAGGGAGAGAGAGCGCAAAGGGGATCAGATAAGCCGCTTTCACCTCCCAGGCGTGCCCGATTTACGGACACGGTGGCTCGGTGCGGGCGACGCTGGCACGCAGGCAAAGAGGTCTTTTTCCGAAGGATACTTTTGTGGACAAAGACGAGGTCCACCTGTCCCAGCTGCCGAGCAGTGACGGTGACCGTGTTCGCGTCCAGCTCGGCCACGGGCAGGAGGGAGAAACCCCCGGGCGGCTTCGGTTCCTCTCGCAGCAGCTTGAGCTCGTAATGTTCCAGAGGGAGCGAGACCTCTGCAGGGATCGGAAAGGGTCGGGGGTCACGCTCCGTAGACGCTACGGCTTTTCTAGACGTTGGACCTCTGCAGGGATCGGAAAGGGTCGGGTGGGGTCACGGTCCGTAGACGCTACGGCTTTTCTAGACGTTCCCCTCTCCCAAGATTCGCTGGCAAAGTGGAGCCCAGCATGAACCTCGGCTGGTGTTATTTACAGGTGGGAAACGCAACAATACATGGGCGTGTGGTGTACCTGTGATTTTCCCCTGGACAATTTTGCCAACTCGGTACTTGATGTACGCTTGCAACAATACACGGGCGTGTGGAGTTTTTAATGGCAGTATTAACAATTCTCCGTGTACCTGTGATTTTCCCCTGGATGATTTTGCCAACTCGGTACTTGATGTACGCTCCAACCAGCAGGCAGACGTCGTAGGAAGGGATCAAGAAGATATTCTCCAAAACCAGCAGGCGCACCACGGCAGCGGCTATTTTCTGATGCATTTTTGGAAAAAAACAACAGAAGACACTGAGTTTTCTGATTCTCTTTCTGGGCCACCATTTCCCTCGGTCAGCAGACACCGGGCAGTGCACCACAGCTCCCATCAGCCTCCAGCCGCGCAGCCAGCGGACGATGGGAATTGTTGTTCGACACCGCCACGAGGCACTGCCAGTTTGCTTTCCCAGCTCCAAGACAGGAAATAAAAATAGCGGCTTGATGTACAGTGTGTGGAACGTGCCCAGCTTTCTTTAAAATGGTGGCCCGTCACAAGCAGCATTCGCAAGCTTTGACTTTTGTGTGTTCCCACAGTGGTGGGGTGACAACCCTCCGCCCCGTCCCTGAAGGTCCAGCGCAAACCGACCTTGTAAACAGGCTCCTGTATTCGGACCTTGATGACGGCCGCCCCGGTTTTGATTCCCGCCACCAGGACCCTGTCTCCTTGTTTCTCCTCTTTTTCCATTTCCGCGATGTACCCCAGCGGGGAATAGTCCGCCTCCGAATACTTTAAAATCCTAGACGGAACAAACGTTTAGGGGAGAGAGCTTTTTTTTTTTGAGACCGACCGCGAGGCTGCCATCGCACGCCGCTTCTGCCGGATTGTCCTGGCCTCTGCAGCGGTGTAAATTGAGAATAAACGTCCCCGTGAGAAGTGACGGAATGAGACAGAGAAGCAAAAGGGGGACTTAAATAATCCGTAATAATGATCTTGGAACTGCACAGCTGGACGGGGACCCTATGGATCATCAAGTCCAGCCCCTATCAAGGAGGCATGGGGGGGATTCGAACTCTTGACCCCTGGCTTCACTGTCAAAGGCCTAAACCACTGAGCCGTCCAGCCATAAGATAGAACTCCATGAATAAAGGAAAAGCTGTGTCAGTGTGTTTACCGGAAGCATCTCAGGACCCGACCAGGCGTTGTGAACGTGGCTTATGTCTCCCATCCTCACGATGCTCCCTTAGGACGCCTGATGTGTATCGTGCCCTGGGGTGTGCCCTCCGTCCCCGCACTGGGTCTGCCCCACTGCAGAACAGCATGATCAGCGCAGCCCACCCGGCCCCCGTCCAGTCCTGAGAGCCCCCGACCCACCCAAGGAAACAAAAGGTCTCTCCAGCTTAGGCGAAGGGGGGGGAACAGCACCCATGGGCTGAAAGATTTATGAGAGGGTCCGACTCCCACCCCGCCTGGGGGCTGCCTAATGAGCTCAGTCAGCCCCCATTAGCACTCTTTCCCTACAGCGCTCGCAGTAAGGCAGGGCGTAAAGCCGTGTCCAAATTATCGGCGTGACTAGGATCCTGCCACTCAAAAGGTCTCTCTGCCACTGCCGTCACATGCTGGATCCTAGGCATTTCTAATTCAAAAAATGAGCCCCGGGAGGTCAAAGGGGATTCTCTGATCTCTTGTCATGGGCTTCCCCTGGTTTCTCAGACACCCCCGTTCCCATGCATTTGGGACCCTCTCTTCAAAATGGCTTTTCCTAGCTTCAGACCTCCTCACACCTGTGCCGGACAAAGGCTCCCGGCGCCCACTCCGAGAGCCTATCAGTCCGAATCTGACCCGAAGGCCACAACCTTCTCCTTTCGGAGTCCATGACAAGGACGGGAGGAGACGAGACGAGACAAACGAAACCGCCATCCTCCGATCGGGGTTCCCGCCTCACCTAATTTTGCTCGACAGCTCCAGGGTCTCCACGTCGTCATCCTTGGCGATGCTCCACTCAAATTCCATTCCCTGCAAGCTGCTGAAGGTGTTGCCTGCGGAGAGAATCCGAAATGAGAGAAGGAAGAAGTTTCTGAGAATCCCTGTATTTAATATTTGAAAAATAACCAGCTCATTCCAGGAAACGCTGAGATTCCTTCGCCGAGAACTTCTGACAAAGCGCCTAGCCCGCTTGATCGTCTCCTCGGTCCTAGACTCCCTGTGTTTCCCATAATATGTCAGGTACGTTCAGATATTAAACATGCTTCGAGAGACGCGTTTCTCTCCTCGTTTTGATATGTTAAAGAAAATATTAATGTGTAGTGCAGGAAGCGGGGCGGGAGAGTCCAGAGTAAGGCTTCAAATAATAGTTTGTGGGGGGAGAGGAAGATGCTAATGCCCCCCAAAAAGTTGGCCGGGGTGCTGCTGAAGGCAGGCTGTCCCAGACAGAGTACCTTCCGCGTCCAGGGCCCTCACACTCAGCTCGAGCGGAGAGTCTTCCACATAGATCTCTCGTGTTCGGGAGATGATTTCAATGCGGTCTATGAGGTCCACAATGACGTCACACCGGAGCAAATGCCCTGTCACTGTAAAAGAGGAACAAAAAATGGGGTCAATCGGCTATCCGTCATTTCAAATAGGTCTCACCTGATAACTGGACAAAAACACACCCAGAAAGCAAGAAAGGAAACTGTAAACCACGAAGCAGATGGGAAATCTCTGACCAGCATCATGTTGCTGGACCTCTCGCCCTTGGGCTCTGAAACTCAGAATTTTTAAAATAAATACAGAAGGACCCCCGTATCCGCAGGGAATCAGTTCTAGGCACACACACACCCCCGGATGTGGAAAAACGCGGATTATAGCAAACATTATTATAATAGCAATCGCTAAACACAGCATGGCCACTCTCTAGCGGCCAGTTCCAGTCACCTCTTCGTTAGAAACAGATAATTTTGGGGATGTTTCTTTTAATAGTTTAATACTTTCAGACCTTGGGTAAGTGAATCAGTGGATACTGATTCTGCAGGTAAGGGGGTCCTTCTACCACAAACAAGAACCCCACCATGGCCGAAATCTGTATCGACAGCCTTAGAGGTACGTGATCATAACTGTGTGCCCCGTCCGGGGAAGTCTGGATGTTCCAGGGAGAGAAGACTCAGAGGCGCTTGACCCTTCCTTTCCTCTAGGGGTTGCTCTGGGACCTTGCAGCTGGCCCAAGGCTACCCAGGCTGGCTCTTCCGAGATCCGCGAGTGGGGGGAATCGAACTCCCAACCTCTGGCTCCCTGGAATCTGACCTCAACCACGGAGCTATCCAAGCCCACGAGTGGGGGGGGGATCGAACTCCCAACCTCTGGCTCCCTGGAATCTGACCTCAACCACGGAGCTATCCAAGCGAGCTGGAGAAGGATCTAGTGGTTTAGAAATGTTCCTAAACAAACCGACCAATCGAATCTGACCTCAACCATGGAGCTAATCCAAGCCAGCTCGAGAAGGATCTAGTGGTTCAGAAATGTTCCTAAACAAACCGACCAATCGGCAGAACTGATCGGTTAAGGCCAGGATCGTGCCCATTGATCAACGGATGGAAAGGCTCTTTCCAGAGACTCTGCCTTTCCATCCGTGGCTTTCCTTTGGCCACACGACACGCTTCCTTCCCCCCTTCTCGCCCGCCTCCCCCACGGCTTTCTTCCTGTGACTATCAAGTCCTTTCCGGCATTCCCTCCTTGATTCCGGTCTTACCTGTCTCTTCCGCGATCACCACGCTGGCCAGCTTGGTGGCCTGCGTGGAAAGGGCGACCAGCACTGCTCCCCGGGAGCAAGCCGTGCCGTTCTCGTACACAGGCTCAATGGTAACCGTGTCATGGCGGGTCGAATACCTACAGAAGAGAGGACAGGCCAAAGAGGCTCGCAGGCTTTCTCTTCACACCCACACACCACATCTCAGATATTATGCCTTTTGCAATGACCAGATAGGCGGGGTATAAATTGAATGAATGAATGAATGAATGAGTGAGTGAATGAATGAGTGAGTGAGTGAGTGAATGAATGAATGAATGAATGAATGAATGAATGAATGAATGAATGAATAAATAAATAAATAAATAAATAAATAAATAAATAAGCAAGATAGATAGATAGATAGATAGATAGATAGATAGATAGATAGATAGATAGATAGATAGATAGATAGATAGATAGATAGATAGATACCTTAGGCGAGAAAAGCAAGGCCGCCTCCATCCGCTTGGAGGGTCATTCTATATTTATTTTTAAAGATACTTGATGTGGTTTTTTTATGCATTCGTTTTGTGATGTATATTTGGGCATAGCAACACCCCCTCCCATTGAATTCAAAACCCATGTATAACTTCTTCTGCCCTCCAAAACGTAACTAAAAACAGCCGATTAACACACACAAACATACAGAACAGTTCCCTCTCTATATGCAGATTCTCTTTCGTTGACAGGGCTTTTCATACAAGACGGTGGGTTTTTAAGAGCCATTTAAAAACTTGGCTCTCCAGGCAAGCTTTCCCTCCTGTCAGTTCTTGAATTCTATCTTTCTGTTTTTTTTATCCCCCATCTTGATCACACTATATTATTGTTCAAATGGTTTTTACGATTATGAATGTTGTTTTTTTTATTGTGATGTTTTTATTGTTATTTAATCTATTTTATGATTTTGTAAACCGCCCCAAGTAGACGCTGTCTAGGTATAAATCGAATGAATGAATAAATGAATGAATGAATGAATGGTTTTATAGGCCAGATGGGCAGGGTATAAATCAAATCAAATCAAATAATAAATCAATCAATAACAAGCCTTAAAAGTCCTTATGATCTAGAGGTTGAATTAGAGAAGGGACCACTTTTGACACCTTCGGTATTGACGTTATGGGGTTCTCGGTTGGTCACGGGGACAGTATTGAATATATATATATATAGGGGGATATTTATTTATTTATTAGTGATTTGATTGATTGGTTGACTGAGGGGGTGAAAATCAGTGTACAACCAAAACTAGGCTGTTCAGACCCGTACAATTCAAGGGAAGTGTAAAAAAATTAACTTATAAATAAATGAATAAAATAAGTGAAATTGCAAAACGACACTAGATTAAATGGATTAAAATAATCCATTTTAAATCAACCGCCCATCCGGGCAATTTTTCTTCTCCTGAGCAAGCCCCGCCCCCTTTCCACGCCCCTTATGCAAAACGCCAGAGCAACGGCTTCGCCGGCCGCGCGCACTCCTAGCCACGCCCCCCTCGCGCTCCTCCCTCCCTCTCTTCCCCCGAGGCCCCGCCCCCTCACCAGGAGTAACAGCCCCCCTCGGCGTCAATATAAAAAGGGACGCGCTTCTCGCGGCTGAAGGGGAGCAGGACTTTCGGGGCGTTCAGCTTGTAAGCTCCGCCCGGCCCGGCCAAAACCACCCCTAAGGCGAAGAAGGGCAGGAAAGCCTTCGCCGGAGGGAGCCGGCCCCGCCCGCCAACGGCCGCCATCCTCGAAGACGCCCCCTCTTTTTCCTCTCGCCTTGGTTTGGTCGCGTGCGACGCCCTGCGCATGCGCCGCGGGCTCCCTCTGCCGGCGCTTCGCACGCGGATCCCGCGCTTTTAGACCGTCCCGATCCGTCTACGCATGCCCAGTCCCGCGTTCTCTCGGGATGGGAGGGAGGGCGGCCTCGGGTTGGCGCGTGCGCAAAAGGTCCGTCGCTCTTCCACCGGTTCGAATCCCCGTCGCGGAGGAAGAGCCCACCCCCCCCGGCAGCTTCAAATTTTAGTTTTTTTCATCATTGCGTGGGATAGAGCAATCGTGTCATTTGCGATACTCTTCCCATACCTTAGCTTTTGCATTTGAGGATTGCTGGCCTCAAAAATCTGTCTTTATTAATTTCTACTCATTCCCACGCTTGGTGTAGTTAATTCTCAGGAAAACTTGGGAACACATATCTGGTGGTCTGGTCTCCAATAGCTGCCCAATTTCTATGCATTAAAGAAAGTTGATGGTGCACCAGTTAAACCCAACAACTTTGGCTGTGGTTACAGGGTTGCATCTTCCTATCATCTCCAGGCTCGGTGGAGATGATGGGAGGTGTAACTCAATAAAGCTGGAGAAAAACTGGTTTAGGAAGGTTAGGATAGGGTTTCCCACTCAGAAGTAGAAGGGCTATTGAGTTCACTGAGGGGACTTTTGAAATTGCCCATCTGTTCAGGGAGACGGCTTGAGCCAACCAAACATCTGTCTTCCTACTCAAATGTGCATTTAATTAAATTTATGTATTAATAGCATGGTTTAAATGTCCTCTGCTATTTTTGTACTTTTGCCAGTACCCTGCTCCTTCATCTTGTGAGACACCTCTGCAGTTTTGGGGATGAAGAGCAGGGGGAATTAAATAGCAATTAAGCAGGGAATGGCCACATCCTTGTGGTGCTGGAGAGCAAAGCCAAGCTGCCTCCCTCCTCCCACAGCACCATCATCATCATCATCATCATGTACCGTCAAGTTAATTCTGACTTATGGCGATTCTTTCCAGGGTTTTCTAGGCAGGAAATAATGAGAAGTGCTTTACCCTTCCCTTCCTCTAGGGGGAGCCCTGGGAGTGTGCAGCTGGCCCAAGGCTACCCAGGCTGGCTCTTCTTCCACAGGGGGCGGGGAATCGAACTCCTAACCAAGAAAACAGAATACTCTGTGGCTGTCAAATAAAAACACTTCATCCTCCTCATTTAGATCCCACTTTTTACGGTTTCCAGTTTTGATAAGACCCAAGCCCCTATTATTTTTTTAAAAAGATCACAAGATGCTCGGTGGAGGGAATGCTTCTGTTTATTATTTTTAAAAAAAGACAATAAAAGACAAAAGTTTTGTATTTATTTTTTTTTTAGTATCAAAACACTTGATATGCTTTCCTCATTTCTCCACACTGGCCACTGAGAAGCCACTATGGTTGACACGCCGCCGCCGCCTCCGAGAGGGGCTTTCACGCAGACAAAAGAAAAAAAAATAAACAGCAGACACCTTGGCAAAAAAAGAAATCTCACCGGGAGGCAACATCGTAGTCAAAATGCCCAGTTGTTCTCTTTTAAGACAATTAGGAGGAGGCTCCCGGTGAGAGAAGGACAGGAGATTTCCCCTCTCGTCCCACATGAACTGCATGGCAAAAGTTGCTCTCCTCACAAAACATTCAGACACCAAAAAAAAAGCTTTACCGAGCACAACGCAAGTTATAAGCCTGGCAGGGGAAGAGATTCCACGGGGATCACGGACGAGACCAAAACGGAGGAGCTGGCAGTGCTTCGAAGCAAGGTGCGAAAACGAGAGAGAGAGAAAGGAAGAAAGAGAGAGAGCAGGTACTGAACAAGAACCGTTAAAAAGTGTATTTATAGAAAACGGATCACTTTTGACACTGCGGTTACCTTCCTCCCGGACTAGAAATCGTGATAAAAAATCACCCGCGCGTGAGAATGTGCTAAGGCTGCACCAT